TTTACATGTTGACGATTTCTAACGAGTTAGCTTACATATCCTTCTTATTAACAGCATTGCAATGAGAGTAGTTTTCAATAACATTATTCACTAAACAAGAAGGTGAATTATCTAAAACACTCTAGAAATACCACAGGATCCTCAGCTAACAACAGTGGATTGAGTTTACGCACGAATTTAAGGCATAACTGTTTGTCACTGAAACGAGTAAGCAGATGAATAATAGGTATCTTTCGAGATCACTCACTATACCTCGCATAAATACATCCAGTTTAGCTTTCATAACAACCATAAGATAAAAGGAGATGAAGATAAAGGAAGTGAAAATGCTAGTTGACAAGGTGTCAAAGATTAAGGAGTAGGTATATTGATGTCATTCAGATTGGTCTGTTACTGTATCAGTGAGATCTTACGACTTTATATTTCAGCTGTCCCCCACACTCCAACCTGGTAGTTTGCACTTTAATACATAACTAAGAAAGATAGTCACTATCATGTGGAACATACACAGTGAAAGAAGCTCCAATTTATTAAGGATATAAGTTGTTTCACTGTACTTTAAGCATCGCTATTTCATTGAGACTATGTTATCCTATCTTGTATATTTTATCCTCTTGATAGATTTGTGTGTCGGCACAGCGCATATCTAGTGATCAGTTTGTCTACTTGATAAACATCAGTATATGGAAGATTTCAAATCATGAAACAAAATAGCACGAATGAATTCTCTTATTCCGACCATATTACTAGAAATACTAGACTTTTTTAGATGTATCAGTAACCTCAGTACTTCTTACTGCGTAAAGATTTATCAATAGATAAACTGAAGTTTATATATTCTAAGTTCACTACTGAAAGCTGAAAACCAGTTATAAATAATGACAACAGTAAGAACTGTAGACACAACAACCCTGAGTTAGCTTCTCTAATAAATACTATATATTTAAGTTTTTATATGTAATTTCTATGAGGAAATCAAATCATATCTTAGCCTGCACTTTTCAGGGTGTCGTAGGCTTTGATTATATACGATCTGAAAGTCAAAAAATGACAGTTTTACTCTATTTTCATAATGCTTTAACTCACAATAGCTTTGAGGCTTGTCTTTTGATATAAATGTGAAGGAAAATGTTTTATTGAAAAGTTTGTTCTCTGTTCAGGTTAAATTTATACGCCGAAGAACCAATCGCTGAACACATCTGTTGTAATTTACAACTTGCGTTTATACGTGTTGCCTACAAGATTATAAGTTACACTTATTCACGTAGGACATTTCGGTTAGGACAAGGAATGACATGCTTTAAAAATAAACAACCGTTGTTTATCTGCTTTAAAATATGTAACCAAAAGTAATACGTGAAAAAAGCTCGTAAATATACCTACCTATATAATAATATACCGCGATTTTAAGGTAGTTTCCACCAAGGATTTACATCATTTGGAAAACTGTTGAAAAAACTTCTAGCTGTCGATAATCATTTCAACCTATTCTGAGACTTCTCAGCAGTGCAAACATACAATCTAGTGATCAAACAACCTCAGAAACAACGGTTTTCGTGACCAGCACACTACCATTTAGCCACAGGCTTTGTATCCAATTGCCAACATTCTTCTACTTCTCTCAGTTCACGATATATCATAACATTCACTTATTGTTATCGTTTGGGATCCATCTCCACTTCAAAGTTAGTTTGCTCTAAAGATCGTGGCTTCTCATTAGAGCCTCGAAAAATCCATCCCGAAGCATGTAACCTAGTAACTGAAAAGCAGTTTGCTCGCCTTATGGTCTCAGATGGTCATCATCATGAGTTTGCGAGAAGTTCGGAACTAGGATGGAAAAGTTGTCGAGTGCTGTCAGATTTTCAATGGTTTTCCAGATTATATCAGTCGAAATTGAAAACTACTTTCGAATTAGTCAGCCCCTGTAAAAGTCTGAATGAATGATTTTAAGTGTAGGGCATTTTCAAAATGGCCAGTAACAAAATCTTCTCGTTCTCTGAAATCAATATTTTTTATAGTCAATATATGGTTCCAATTTCAAAATGTTTTCTTCCCAATAAATAGACTGTCAAAAACTTGTTTTATCGCCTATGGAATACTGATTCAAAATTATTGTCTTATAGGGATTTAAGACTTCATGATATTGATTTCAGGATTAAAATTACTAAAGTTCACATGAGAAGTCGAACATGAAGACAGTCATTCAACGTTAGAATTGGTTGAAGTTTGCATTGTCGTGAACTAGCAAGAGTAGAAAATATGGATCGTTGAATCCCGATCCAGTGGCTTAATAATAACGTAATCTGAAGGTGATGGGTTCAACTCCTTGTAAGGTCACGGGTGTGTACTACTGAGGAGTCACATACTAGAATCAAACACCTGACCAGTGCTCCCAGGTTCCCAAAGTTTCTCTAGCTGATGTCAGTCAATGATGCATACCAACCTGAGATCAATAAATAAATCCTCACAAACCTCAAAGCTGAGTTGACGAAACCCACCGTATCTAAAAGGATGCATAAATAATTTTAACACAGAAAAAAAGGATATATATATATATATATATATATATATATATATATATATAGGGGACATATACTACTAATATCCATTCTAATCAGCAACGCCCATTACACTTCTTAACAAAAGTGATATGTAAAATTGACTTACATTCTTTTATATAGCTTTGTGGATCAAAACTGTGGTTTCAGCTACAAGCTAAAAATACTTGAGTTAGCCAACAGTTCATCTCTACTAGTGTCAATTCATTCACGCTTTTTCTAATTGGGTCGTCTTACAGTACAGTGACGACTTGCTTAGACATGCTCCGAAGAATATGAGACTGAAAAGAGACAAAGCCTTTAAAGGTTTCGTAGGTCATTATATAATTATTTTAGTTTCCAATACATTTGTCCAATGCTCATATTTTTTCAAACCATCAAATCCCAAATTAGTTTGGATAACTATAAGTACCATATTTGGTGGTGGCAGACATGGTTTCGGGGCCCTAAAGTTGTTCAAAGTGAGTAAACAACAGATTAACCTTAATATGCTGCTATTTTGTGAGTCATTGGTCCTCAGGCGACCTCAGTCTCAATTATCGATACTTAAAAAAACAACTTTTCCCAATCTCACTTGCACTTCTCTTCGTGTGTTATCTCTTCCCTACCATCATTGTCGTTGTTCGTATTATTACTATAACTTATAATGCTTGGGTATTTATATCACAGTAATTCATCTGATCTCCCTACTTAGTGGCAGATGAATCCCTAAAATCAACAGTATAGTGTTCGACAAGATTCACCATTTATACTGACCTTCAGTGTTTTGTGGGACTCGGTTAGCTGAAGGCATACGGTCAAGCATCCACGCCATTTGGCACTTTGTTATGTTACGTTGCACTACTCGTAACTTATCCTCTACCCAGGTAGTTGAAACACATTTGTACTGTGGTACTACCCATCAACTATACTATTCCCGTCTGACTACGCTATTGTGTTCTTCCCTGGTCTTCCACTTGTACGTATATAACAAGTACGGATAGTTAGTAAATAACCTTGGCCCCCGTCATGTTCTCATGAAACCCATTCCTGAACTTTTTCGAAACCTCTAACCTCTTGTAAAAGCTACATATCACATGACCTCAAGTATCTCTATCTAGAAAAATGCGTATACTTATTATGTGTTCACCCATGTTTCTACCAATGGCCAAACGTATTCCTTTCTATCAATTTTGATGATTTCAACACAATTCTCTTCTGGCTGAAAGATGATAGTTGACCACTAGATTGACTAAAGTGTGTATAATATTTTTCATGTTTCTTCATTTGAAAACTCCTTGACTTCGTAAGCAGTTGAATACAGTTGACAAAATGAAATGGGTTCAAATTGTTCTACTCCAACGGTTGTTCTTGCTTTACCAAAACTGGAACCTTTCTGACATCTGAGTTTCTCTATCTTCAAGCTTATTATCGAGAAGCATAGAAACCTTTGAAGAAATATGCTAAACATTTTTAAATTAGGCCATAAATTTAACTAACATTCAGTGACTGTTTTGCGTAATTCAGTTAATTAACCAAAGTCTGAATGCATTATTAAAGTGAACTAATAACTCATGAAGGGACAGTATAAAATCTAGTCCTGGATAGGCAGATTTCAAAATCCACCCTTATGGATCCCATTGAAGATGAGCCTCAAGTCTCAAATTATCTGCTGATTACTCTTATTTGTGTAATTTGTCCACCAGAATTGATAATCTTTGAAAATACAAATGAAAGTTGTCCAAATGTACCCAACTTTGTCATCAGCAATTAAACTTCAGAAAGCAATCGCATCTGAATTTAATTTGTAGAAAACGTCTTATTTAAATGTGACCTACGTCTTAAGTAATCTGTTTTTCCTAAATGGTAATTTATATGCTATTATTTCTTTAATGCTTAACTTTACTATGATTCAGTATAACATTTATATAAGATTTCCTTCGAAATCAAATTTATTTATCAGCAATCACAGGAAAAGATTGAAAACAATTCAAGTAACTGAAACCAACAAGTGAATAACTTGATCCAGTTGCATAGAGAAATTACTGATAAGGATGAAGAGAAACTGTTACTACTGTCAGAAGTTCAACTTTAAAATTAGCGGTAGAATCTGATTGGCTGTCTGGTGACGATCATTGTCGCTAATTAACTACTCATTATCGTTGCGTTAATCGTCATGTTGTTACCTCGTATCTATTCTACCTCTGTAGTAATTTTTTGATATAACACTGTAAAATTGGTTAGCTGGTCTTTCTTGTTTTACATAATATTATTTACTTCAAAGTTTGAAGATTGGATGAGTGTAACGAAACAGTCAATAAATTAGTTTTTGGAGAATAATTATTGGTTGATTAAGTCATATCATTTACGTAAATAATCAACCAGTCAAAAGTGCAGTTATGTAATGAGGTAAGGCATATGACTGAGTTTTGATTAGTTTATTTCGAAAAAGAAATACCTGATCACATATTTATTTATATTTATTTAAACTATTCAGGGAAATCAAATATATGAAATTACATATTCATTAAATGGGATTCTAATTTTTTTTCTTTATAAATTTAATCACGATGATGAAAGTTATGACGTCGTTGGCGAGTTGTCATAATCATGAAGAAAGTAAGAAACACATAAAGAATCTCATCTAATTTCATTAAATCATAGATTATTTACGGGAAGGATGAAATTCGAAATCAGTAGAATAAAAGTCAGTAATAACGTTTTAAAGGATCCATTTACACTTAGAATAGATGAAACGATTGGGCATGCGGCAGAAGTAGAAGGCGAGTTAGAGTGAATACACAAATGTTGCTGATCTTGTTGTTCATTTGGTGAAATGTTCTTTGGTATGGTTTGATGATTGTTATTTTGATTTGACTTTGAGTCGATGTATCCTGATAATGATGAGTTTTGTTTTGCAAATGCAATAGGATCAGAATGATTTGTCAACCAAGATTCTTGAAATAATCGATTCACATATGGGTCAGCTGTATTTCAAGAAGAATGAAAAAGAGGAGAAATAATATTTCTTGTAAACTTGAATATTTCTGTAGGACAACATGACATTGTCGGGAGAAAAAAGTCCATTGTGTTCGACCTCTACTGTATTTTATATGCTTTTGTAGTGGTATCTTTGAACCATATTATTTCCGTCGTTCAGATGGAATCAGTTATTTTTTGTTAAAAATCGTTCTTCTGTGATTTAGTTACACACCAAAAACATTTTCTGTAACATGAGGGGCCTAAATATGGTTTATATCATTTTAAGTACAGTGTTGACAAGATAAACAGTCCATACTTAAGAGATAGTTGAGATATAATGTTTATGGGAAATATCTCGTATCTTGTGTGTGAATGAGCATTTGTGTGAGGAGAATATTTTTTATTCTGATGAGATAAGAACCAGGTCCAAATGTAACTATATGAAGCATTCGATGTCTCAACTGAGACACTTCAAGAACAAAATTATTTGAAACTTGAAAGCGATTCAGATGTAGCTTTTGTTTTAGGTGTTTAGAAAGACTATCGTTACCAGATCTTAGTCAGATGTTTAGTGGTGAATACTGATAAAAGTTAGGATATATATTTTGACCTACTTGCAACTCATCAGCCGGTTATATTTTCATCCGCTTTTATTTCCTGATGGAGACTAAAAAGCGGTATTCATCAATTTAAACAACAGGGCGCTATCAATTAGCCCGATTGCTTAAGAAAGTCGTATACTGTTCAACACCTGTCAGTTTATTACTACGAGTTTTGATATTTTCCATTTTTGATTTATAGAGAGTAATTGTAAAAAAAGCCTGTAAGTTATCAGAGACTGACCAACCAAGTCGTAAAAAGAAGTGGCAAAAAATATTGAATATTGATGTCAGTCCATTATGAATACCGACGTGAAGTAAATAAATCCTCACAAACCTCAAAATTGGATTATTCTAACACTCATTGGTGACTAGCTTCGAGAGGTGATTCCCGAAGTTCCAATGAGAAGTCATTACCAGTGGAGACAACCAAGTCGAACATGAGGATAGTCACTCAACAACGGATTTGGAGGTCGCGCTTTATCCTGAACTGACAAAAGTAAGAAACATGGGCCATTGGGTCCCGACCCAGTGGCCCAATAGAATAGTAATAGGCTACGCACAGAACTTGAAGGTACTGAGTTCAATCCGTGGTGGGATCATGGGTGTGCACTGCTGATTGGTCCCAAGCTAGGACGAAACAGAAAACCACTTCTCCTAAGTTTCCGATGTTTGTCTAACTGATGTCAGTCCATGGTGAATACCAACCTGAACTCCAGAATCACTAGACATTCATGATAAAACTTGAGGAAGTAACTGTAATCCCTTGACATGAAAAACAGATAGTCAGTAGTTATTCTTCTTGTATCACAGGCTAACAAAATGTCACCCTCAAACCTTTATAGTGCTACTGATAGAGCTTTGACTTTGTAAATAGTATTTATATCGTACAGTAGACACTTTGAAACTTCTATAGCAATAGAGATCTGATTTTTTTTCGTTCTTTATCTTTAAACACATGAGAAAAGCAAAGATTACTCCTTGTTATTGGCTAATAGTACTAAACGAATTCGGCTACCTTTCAGGCAGAAGTGTGTGGAATTAGGAATAGTATGTAATGGAGTGATAGTAAAATCAAGTAATTTTCTTGAAAGTGTCAAGTAAATATCTATATGAAACTTTAACCTCTTTCTTTTGAATTTTCTGACATTATTATTTATTACTTTTCCCTTGTGTTCCTAGTGGAACATAGGGATCCAATAGGACATCGCCTTTTCACTCTCTTCTCTGCAGTCTTTTCAGCCTGGTTCAACGATTGCCCAGAAGATTTCTTTGCTTCCTCAGACCATCTTCTCCATGTCAGCCTCAGCTCAGACGCCAAACTCGTCCTTTCGCATTTAAATTCTACTCGAGGGCCTGGTGCGCGATGTCTCCGAGTGGTCTTCCCAGTGTATGCCTAATCCAATCCATCTCCACTTTCTTCTGCATATTTGTTGGATGATGGTTTCTTGGTTGGTTTATTGTCAGCCAGCCAGAGTTTCTTGTTGCTTATTCTTTCTGGCCATCTATCTGATCTTCCTTATCGAGGAGGCATGGGCGGCAGCTGTTGATGAATGTCTGTAGTTTGTTCGAAATGCTTTTCGTAACGTGCCAAGCTTCTGAACCGTATAGAAGCACTGAATTGACGTTGGTGCTGGAAATCCGGATCTTGTTTACTCTTTATGCTAAGTGAAGTGCAGTAGATCTCCACACTGCTTTCGGTGATCATAAGCGGCTACCTTGTCTTACACTTGTCTCCACTCAAAAAATGTCACTGAGCTTTTCACTGTGAATCACATGACATGTGGTGTCGTCATATGGCTGTTGAATGAGGTTGATAAAGATTTGTGGCACTCGTTTGTTTGAAACAAAAGATGCCAACTTACTCGTCGGTCGACGCTGTTAAAGGCCTTTTCAAAATCGATGAACTTGAGTTGGAGAGTTGAGTGGCATTCTATGTTCTGTTCTATGATGATGCGAAGCGTTGCTACTTGATACACACATGATTTGTTCTTCCTGAAGCCAGTCGGCCAGCCTGTTCTGGTCGTTATTTTGAATTCAGCACATCTTTTAGTCTTTGCAGAATGGTGCGGCATAATATTTTGCTTGGGGTGGAGGGGAGTGGGGCGTGATTCCGCTCCAGTTCTTGCAGACTTAGGTCTCCCTTCTTCGGAACTTTGATAAGGTAGCCCTTCTCCCAACCAACAGGTACTCTTCCTTTCTTCTGAGTCTTCTGCATTAGTGGTGTGAGCCTGTTTGCTGCTGTTGTCTTTGCGTCCACTTTCAGTGCGTCTGGAGGAATTCCATCTGGTTTTGCTGCTTTCCCAGATTTCAGCATTTTTATGGCGTTCAGGACTTCACTACTGCTTTTGTCGGAGGGTTTGTATTCACTGGCAATTCTGTGGCTGTGCTCCTGGTGGTATTTCTGGACGAGTTACAGGTTGCGGTGGTGGTGGTCGATTCAAGAGTTTTTTGAAGTGGTCAGCCCATTGTTTCCTTTGTTTCTCCTCTCTGTTTGGTAACTAGGTTTCCTTCACTATCTTTCACTGGTTTCATCTGTGTTGATCTCTCCTCTTCCAGATAGCAATCTGGTTATTCGATATAGTGTTGTCAGGTCTCTATCTCTCCTACCTGCAGCCTATTCTGTTTCACTTGCCAGGGTGTAGTAGAAGTGTCTTTTGTCTTTGTGCGCACTCTTCCTCACTTCTTTGTCCAGTGTAGGGTTCTATAGGTTGTTTTCGGTTCCTCTTTTCGTTGTTTATCCTAGCACTGCACTGGTTCATCTTCTGCTTCACCATCTTCCTCTCTTTCAGTTTCCATGTGTCCATCAAGGTCCATTCCATTCAATGTCGTTTTTCTTCTTCCTTCCCTAATACGGTTATGCAGGTTTCTTTCTACATAACTTTCAAAGAGTTCCAGTGTTCTTCCATGCAGATTTCTTCAGGGATGATGCCTAATGTCTCCCATTTTTTCCTCATAGCCGACGTGAAGGTCTCTTTTGTAGTTTTGTCCTTCAGTTTCTGTTCTTGTGTTGAACTTGAACCGTGGTCTATCACCAACTTCTTTCAAGGCTTTCAACTTGATTTGGAAGGTTCCTTGCACCAGATAGTGAGTGGTGAGAACATACATCTGCTCCCCTTCTTCATCTGATCTTGTATCCAGTAGGCTGGCTGTGTCTCCACTTTCTTCCCATTGAGATGAAGTCGATCTGGTTTTTAGTGTGTTTTGGTGTCTAGTGGAATCCTTGTAGCTTTGTGAATATCCTTGCGTTTGTACACACTGCCTCCAATCACCAAATCATTAGATGTGCAGAAGTCTGCAAACAGTTCTCCATTCTCATTCATTTCAACGAGTGCTTCTCAAGGCATTATTGGTTCCCTTCCTGTGTTGTCTGCTCCCTGTTTGGCAATTATGTCACTCCACCCATTAGAATTTTGATGTCACAAACTGGGATCTTGTCCAGTGCTGATTTCAGTTATCTGTAGAATTCCTCCTTTTTCTCTTGATCTGTATTATTTGTAGGTGCGTAGCGTAGCATTGCATGACTGTCACTTCCCTTCCTTTTCATTTGAATCTTGCTGTCATGATACTTATCCTGAAGGAGATTGGATCCCACTACATGAGAGCCTTTGATGCTGTTGGGGACATCATTAGAGCCACTCCCTTAGTGTGCTCATGATTGTTGTTTGGGTGACAATATCGGAATAGATTATTGACTCTCCAGCTGACAGTTTGGAGAGTGCACTTCCATTCCATCTACTTCCGAATATTCCCCGCAGATTCCTAGCACTTCTATGCCATATCTTCTTATTTATTTTGCAATTTGGGTAGCCGTGATAGCTTCAAACATTGTGCGGATATTCCATGTCCCCGTGTTAAGTTTTTCTGTCATCGAGAGAAGACACATCGGCCAATTAGCTTTTTGAAGGTTTTGACCAACTGGCGTCATTTTGCCTCTCCGGTTCCAGATAGGAATAAGTTTAATTTTATGTTCTATATTTTTTTCTGCTTTGAAGTTTCTGTAGCCGTTGTATTGGTTTTCCGGGGTAGGGTTGCTAGCCCTATGCCCAACCTTCTGTGTTTATCCGGGCTTAGAACTTTCTAGTGACTCGTGAGCTAGTTAACTAGCCTAGCGAGCATTCTACTGGCTGTCTGCAACCACTTAGTGGTAACATGTTTATTTTCTAAACCCTTACAGAAAGATTGGACAAACCGCTTATCTAATGTAAGGTATAATATGTCTCACTCCATAAATTAAAATTCGCTTTAATATGAGATACATCATGAAAATATTTCAGTAATTAGGAATTTCCCAAGTAGCGACCGAGCAATTGACCTAATGATTAATAAGAATCAAATATCAGGCCAGAGCCAAGTGACTATGTCAGATGGATTGAAGATATGAGAATAGATAATTGATTATAAGAGAAACGAATGATCACCTGTTGAGCAATGTCAACCAAAAAATAGTCATTTTCATATGTTTCCTCTTCTGCCTTTCTTTTAGGTAGTTTTGTCAGGAATACATCATATCCTTTTCAAATACTCTCAGGGTACAGAATAATCTATTATTACGTATGTTATGCACAAGATATGGTCAATGAGTGATTTATTTAGCGCTTTATTCACATAACCTTTTTGATAATGATATTTCAAGCAAGTATGTAATTTAGCACAAGAAAAACTAACTTTTAATTTAGAAGTATTAAATAACTTACGTAGTAACCCTGTGAAATCTCCATTCACAATTCCAAGTCTCATATTTCTTGAGTGGCATATGCTAGGCTGAGCTTGGAAAAAGAAAGACAAGTACAGTACATGTTAAAAATATTTGAAAACATCAAGTTGTTTCATGAATAACATATATACTATTTTTTTTGAAGTAACTTATAATTTACTGACATGTCTGTTGTTTTATTGGGTCGAATTGTCCGACCTCCTTTTGCATATATGCTTCTATGTGAATGCCTCGACACTGCGTGAATCCTAAGTACGGTAATTTGGTTGAACAGTGCAGGTACATCCAGCTGACGAGTCCCAAACAGGGCAAAACAAGTGTCATGGATTCCTCTGCTAGCCACAATCAACCAGATTACCGTAATTAAGATTCAAAGAATATCGAGGCATCCGCATAGGAGCCCATAAGCCAGTAGAGGTAGAACAAGTCGGTTCAATAAAACAACGGAGAATCACAAGTATGTCAATAAATAGTAGTAGCTACTACCCATTGTACAAGAAGTGGCCGTCGTTCCCCCGAAGCATAGCGGATTACGCCCTGGCGTTTGGAGCGAGTGGTACGTTGTTCGAGTTTCAGTGAGAACAACAACACTCAATGGGGTGCAGGTACCTCCATCTAACGACTCCCAAATAGGACAAAACGCTCTTCCTGGATTCCTCTGCTAGTCACAACCAATCAAATAACACATTGCAGCCTAAACAAAGTTCAAGTTTGTGAACTTCAGTATCTGTTAGGATAAACACTTGGAAATATTTCATTTAAACAACCATTAAAATCGGACAACACTGAAAGACTGCTTCTTCCTGTTGTACTAATTGTTGGTATGCAATAAGTGGATTTCATAGTTGTCATAAAGAGAAAACAATCCTGAATGCCTTTTGAAGTGTTTTCATTTAGATTTGCTTATGAGGAGACGCCAAACATGTAATTTGTGAGCACAGAAAATTACCATTTTCCTTCTATTGATAAATATTTACTTTTTTTGAAACTGAAGCTAAATCTTTGTATTGTAAAACTCAGCTTTTCCTTATATAATTCAGGAATCAACTTAATCATTTTTCATTAACACTACGGCTACTGTTTTCATATGAAAACGATATGTAGGCCTAGTTAACATATCAATTAGTTCATAGATTAATAAACGAAATACCCTAAATATCGTGTTTAGTCGATTTATTGCTCAACTTACAGTGAAATCGAACACCTAATTTTGTTGAAACGAACATAATTTTAAGACATTTTATTATTTTTTTAGAAAAAAAGCATTAATGAAGAGAAAGGCAATAAAGAATAAGTGAACACAGAAATAATCAACAACAAGAGATGCAGTTAAGTTATCACTAAATTTTTTGGAGCTCAAGCTAATTTCCTACACATAACTGATGAAATAATAATAAAAGGATAATTCTCACCTTATCGTTATAAATTTATATTTTAAATTGCGGGAGATTTAACGAGGGTTTTGTTTAAAGTTTTCATGAATAACAAGGATTAGGTATAAGTAAGTAAAGTCACTTTATAGTATGTTTTTTAGAAAACATGATGAACCTTAGTGGACAAGACAGACAAATGTGTTATGAGAACTTATCATGATTAGATTTTTTTTTCTAATATAAAGAAGGATTATGCCTTAGTTAAAAATAATGACGAGAAATGAACTCTTCCGAGTAGTGACAATAAAATATCTACATATTGGAAAACCGATATTATCAAACTTTATGAATATCTCACTAAAAGGGAGTAGAATTCATTGCAAACTTAAAGAGAAGAGAAAAAGTTTTTTTTACTTTAAACCTCTTTTCATAATATTCATTTGAAATGAACAGACATTTGCATTTGAGAGTGATTTGAAACTCTCCTACATACTATCCACTTTAATCAGCTGAGAAGTAAATAAGTTGTTCTAAGTTGCTCAGTAGAACTAAGTTTATATAAACGCTGATTCCAATATATTTATTTGATTGCACGACAACATTTTCACTCGCATAATTCATAGTTAATAGTGGTGTAAATGCAGATGGTTTCAAGTGAAGTGATAGTAGGCTGAAATTCAGAAAATACTGAATCCGAATTCAGTGTTTAGACATTCTTTAAAGCTTAATTAACAGAATATAAATATTTATTCTTTAAATAATACTCCTTATCAAAGACATGCCATCGGCTTTTGGGATTTATAATTAGTACAGTAGAACTAGCCAATGATAACAAGTTAGGTTGATAACTGTTTCTAGATTTCAAGGAGAAAATCATTCAATAAAATGAAGGTAGGTAGTTAAAGATTGAAATATCTACGACATAAAAATTGTGAAACTCAACATAGACGATTAATAAGTAGAACGTTTACGTCATGAGGTGAGATCAACGATAAAATAAGATGCTTAAATGCAAAGAATTAGGAAAGAAAAGCATAGATAACGGAGCAAAATAAGGTAGTTAGAAAGGTATCAACATTATTGGTAGTAATATTAAAGATATACACACATATTCATTTTTTAAGCAGCATTCATCATAGCAGTTGGAAAACCACTGAACATTTTTGAACACTCGACAGATTTTTCGACTTCCCAGCAGTAGGCACCCGTGGCCTAGCCAGAAATTGAACTCCAGACCTTCATTTCTCGCAGCAAACTAATAGAAGTAAGGAAATGTGAATCATTGAATTCCACCCCAGTGGCTGGATAGTTAACGCTTTCTTCCTGAAACTTGAAGGAGTCCCATACTGGGACGAAACAGCTGTCTATTAATAAGACGTTTTCAATGGTTCTCCAAATGACGTCAGTTAGTGATGAGCGTTACCTTAAAAATATACATATTTATATACTCTAGGAAGTACTGGTCACGAATAAGTAGGTTAAAAGAAAAATGACGGTCACAGTGACACTGAACCTATGCCTTTATGGTATAGCATGTCATGCAAGTGCACTCCTAAGAAACGGCCTGACAGTTACATCCCCGTGATAGCTGAAATCAGAATTCTCAAAAAAGAAGAAAGTTAACAAGAAGGGATATTGAAATGTGGAGTGATGCGGAAAAAACAGCATAAATATGGCAAGTAACAAACATGTAGAATGACAAATTTTGAATAAAGACTGCTCAGGCAACCTTGAACATAGGTGGATGACCATGTCAAAAGTAAGAAAACATTAAAAGAAACTGCCTGCAAACAACACACAACTCGGACATAATTGAATCAGAGGAAAGGCAGAGAACATAAAGAAGAAAGAATAAAACGTGAAGATGGAAGCTGAGTAAAGAGAATGGGAAGGATAAAAAAATAACCATAACACAAAATTAAAACCATGAAGACAGGTAGGACACAAATGTCAAACCATCTCAAAAGGATTCGCGTTAAAGAAAGGAGGCGACCACGGTGACAGTATATATGATAAAGCGTGCAGTCTTTCCAGTATATACGCCCTTATGTTCTTATGTAGATAATTTACCGATGTTATAACTACCTTAACGACTAAACGCGTGATTGACTGACTGAGTGCATGAATAAGTGACCGACTGACGGACTGCTAGATGTAATCACTAACTGACTGACTGAATGAATTGATGAATAAATGATAAAATGCCGCAGTGTCTGTCTTTATGTGCGTGTGTCCGGTCTCCGAGTATGCATATCCCTAGGTGTATAATTGGACGTTTTTGGGTGTTTCTGTTTGTTTTTAGAGCGATATTGGTCAAGTACGTGCAGAAGCACTCGCAAGATTGTGTTTTAAGTGTGTTCTTCTGTGAGTATGTCCAGCTGACAAAAGCCTTGTTTTGCGAGCATGGGAACAGTTGATGGAGACGATCGTCAACGCATCTTGTAGTACCTTGAGTCGGTGCTCGTGGGTTGTAGGGCTGTTGGTTCCGTTGGTGGTGGGTTTCTGTTGTTGTATGCTACGAAGTTGAGAGTGTGAATGTTTGTCGGCTGCCTATTCAGCAATGAATGGTAGATACAATCCAATCTGCAGGCTCCATGGCCTAATGGATTAGGCATCTGATTTCAGATGGGAAGATTAAGGAACCAAGTCTCATTGAGGTTGACGTTTCCCTCGACTACGCCGGACACTTGCCAGCCTCAAATTTCATTATATGCTGAAGTCAGTGTTCAACACTCCAGTTTTGTATCAATATCCGAACTTCTCGTCATCTACAGCAAGAGCACGTCCGCGTCCCAAAGCTTGATATCCACTCTAAGGTCAACGTAACCACACTTCTTGCCTCATCACTCACTAACATCGGAACCGCCATCACGTCGGTCGAGTAACATCCCCTACAACCAACTAAAGCCTAATACTTCTGCACTGATCATTGCATGCACCACGACTGAAGAATATGTGACCACTGTTTGTGCAGCTTTGGCAGCTAAGGTTCCAAATCATTTTCGCCACAAACTCATCCCCATGTTCGCAAGCTCACTGAAGCCTCACGTATGTGGTGATGAGTACCTTCACAAATCTTTCAGTGTTCAGCACACTTAAGTGTTCTGGTGCGATGAGATTATCTCAATCATTTTCATTTGGAGCCTTCCCATTATCCCTATCATCTCGTCTTTCTCACTGTGATGATGCTTTTGATTGTTATCATTATCTCATTCTGAGAAGTGAATTCGCCGACTAAACCAACGTCTGTAGGAGAAAACATTGTGCGCACGATGCTAGTTACACAAAAGTCTTAGCCAATTACCTTGATGTTATTTTTTAATTGTGATTTTTTTCCCGTGCTCATTTTTCTCTTCTGTCGCACTCAGGTTTTATTATTTGTTTTAATCATAGTTTTGATGCTTACTTAGCACCTATCTTTTATATTTTCTTGTTATATACTCTTGACCATGATAAAATTTCTTCTTTTTATGTTTCATTTTTTCTCACCATCCTTTTTTGAGTTTTTGCCCACCTTTTTCCGTTGTGTATTTCTCGCCCGTTTTTTATCAGTGACATTCGTGTTTTTATAAGATCGCTTCCCTGGCTTTTCACGTATGCTTTTTACCTGTATATGTTTCTGGCTAATTTCTTCGCCGCTTTTTATTTTGGAGATATTTTTCTCATCTCATTTTATAATCCTTTCTGAAGGCTGCTGCTTTATATTTTTTCTGATGCATTTCAGTTTAATTTCTCTGTCAACCTATATTTTACTGGATTTTATGAATAAGGGTCATTTTCATTGAAGTAACTAGGATAAGTTAAAAATTATTGAATAACTGCTTATTTACTATATTTATGTCCAACATATTTTCCTTGTATGCTCAGTTCAACTCATTCTACTGGAACATAGTTATTAGTAGAAGGCACAAATCGGTTAAAATAGTTGAAGCCTTGTTGAGCGTTTCAGTGTGAAAACGGAAAATAGATTTTAGTTATGAGTCATATTCTGTCATTGGAATCATGTACATAACAGGAGACAATCGTTATAAGAATAATGATAATAGTAATAATGAGACATTGTTTGAATTATGAAAAGAAATGTTTTTCAAAAAAAGAATTCTCGGTATTAAATCAATCATCTTTAAAGAAATATTACTTTGAAATAGTAGAAAGGGAAGACAAATTGAACAACCTGTTTCATAGTATTAGTGTTATGCAACGGTACACTTCTAATACAACCCCATAGAGATGTAGATAAGATGTTCATACGAGAAGAAAAAGAGTTAAGCACCAACTAGTTATGGAATATTGTGATAATTTACAATCTAAATGTATGGATAATTATTAATTCGAACCCAAAATTGGGTCAATCTATCAAGTGAAAATAATAACCATCTGTTAAGGTCATGTTTAACAAGAAGAAAATAAGTAGAGTAAGCGAGATATGATGATATTAAATACGAAATTAAAAACGACCCAAGAATATTGTATAAAGTTACATCTTGAGCTTATTTATACTCACCAACAAAACTCGTTTACAACTTAGAATAAATTCCATCTGCATGATGTATTTTTAATTTCGACTTTTACCAAGTATTGACACTTCTGCAGGGTTCAAATAAGTTTTAGTATCCTTGACTATTAGGGTGAGCTTTATAAATGGTCCCATTGTGTCCAGTAATGATGAAGTTTGAGTTGCTCCTATTGGTCAAATTAGTGTGCTGATTATGTATACATATATATATATATATATATATATATATATATATATATATATATATATACTTATTTGTCCCTTGGGTTTCTGGTGGAATATAGGGCTTCAGTAGCACGTCTCCATACCACTCTGTTCTCTGCAATCTTTTCTACCTGGCTCCACGACCACCCAGAAGATCTCATTTCTTCCTCACACCATCTCCTCTATGTCACCCTCTCCTCGGACACCTAACTCGCCGTTTCCCATCAGAGTTTCACTCGAGGGCCTGGCATGTGATGTCCTTGAATGGCCTTCTGAGTGTATGCCCAATCCATCTCCACTTCTTTCTGCATATTTGTTGAGCTATAGGTTCTTGATTGGTTCGCTGCCGGCCAGAGTTCCTTGTTGCTTATTCTTATTATTCTGACCATCTGATCTTCAATAACAAGCCAGCGTAGGCAGTTGTTGATGAGTGTCTGTAGTTTGTTGGAAATCCCTTTCGCGACGCGCCAAGTCTCTTAGCCATACAGAAGCACTGACTTGACTGACTTAGTGTTGAAAATCTGGATCTTGTTCACGCTTAATGCTGAGTGCAGAAGATCTCCACACTGATTTCAGGTTAGTGAACGCCTGTCTTGCTTTTCTGATCCTGTCTTTGACGTTCTCATCCGTGCCGCCTGTAGTTGAAACGATGATGCCCATATATATAGTATACGGAGCCATATACTGTTAAAAAGCCAAAGAAAAGGACTGGATTATCTATTACTTGCCATATTTCGAGATTTCGTCACAAAAAACCACTACTTCACTTTGGAGGTTTGTGCAGATTTAAAAATTGACTTCAGGTTGGAATTCATCATGGACTGAAATCAATTAATAAATCTACACGAATCTCCAGATTGAATTAATCTAGCGCTCATTGGTGACCAACTTCGAGAGATGATTCTCGAAGTTCGAATAAGAAGTCGTGACGAGTGGAGCCATTAGGAAAGTTGAACATTAGGACAGTTACTCAACGACGACATTGGCTGAGGGTGGCGCAATATCGTGAACTGACAGAAGGAAGAAATATGGCCCACTGAATTCCGACCCAGTGGCTTAACGGTAACAGGCAAGCCAAAGAACTTGAAGGTTCTGGGTTTGATCCCTGGTGGGATCATAGGTGCTCAGTGCTACGGAGTCTTATGTGAGGATGAAACAGCTGTCCAGTGCTCCTAGGTTTCTTATGTTCCTCCAACTAATGTCAGTCTGTGATGAATTCCAACCTGAAAAAAACTATTACTTCTGACTATGTTATATTGGAATTACTTTAATGCTCTGTTTTAAAAATGCTAATACTTACCGAGAAAATAAACTGGACGATTAATGGGGAAACTTGGATTTCCGTTGGCCCAAGCGAATTCCTCTACCAATAAAGTAAATTGGGAAGGATGCTTTTTACGATCGTTTAGTTGAAAGTGTGGAACTGCTGACTGTGGCGATCGTTTATGCATCATTTTTCTGGACCTATTTAAATTCACTGTGAAGTCTGTGGAATTGTACTTTTTGTTAACTGAATTACTTACAGTGAAAGTGGACTGATTTCTAATAAAAGGATTTTGTGAATATGATTTCATTATCTTTTGATTTTTAAGATTGGTTGATTTATCCTTTGAAATATTTGAGCTATCACGCATTTGTAACTTTCGAGTTGATTTATCTGGACACCTCAATAAGAGATTGACCATTAAGTTATCATTTAACCACATTGAACATGATTCAAATACTTGATATTCATAAGTCTGTTAAGAGAAAAATAATATAAATGTGAATAAATTTAAAATAATAAGCGAAACTCAGTGTATCAATGTCTTTTTAATTTAAACAAATCAAAACAGTTTGAAGTTGACACATTAAAGGAATAAACCGAAATATTCATCGTTCACACTTGAAGCTCTGAGTAATTGTATATTCTTTTTAGGGTGGCTATCATCGAGTTTGTTTTCACTGAGTATTTAAGTTGACCATCGTTAGTTACTTTTATAAAGCTTTTTGTTTATTCTGAATAAGTCATGCAACATAGCGATATTTTTACTCGGCTAGAAAATTATACTTTGCTACAAGTAATCAACGAAGCTTACGAAGATTTCTTTGTAGAAGGGAATTGATCATGTCATCAATGTAACTTCAAATAATATTTGACATTGTTGCTTGTATTATCCTGTTGTTGAGTGGACCAAATTGATCGGTCTCTCAACGATGGGATTCTACAAGCAACTACATTAAAAGTATACTCGTCGCACAAGAAGTGGCTATCGTGAGTCTGCGGCCTAGTAGATAATAGTCTGGCACTTGAACCGATCGGTCCCGAGTTCGCGTCCTAGTGGGAACAACATGGCTCACTGGGAGACAAATACATCCAACTGACGTGTCCCACATAGAACGAAACTCGCGTCCTGGGCTACATTGCTACCCACTACCCATTACTAAACTACCTTGTATGTCCTTCAATCAGTTACTGGAGCGATGTGAACTAACCTGCAATTAGCAGTACCTTTTGAACAACAGAATTTATCCCCAGTGTACTTATCAGTTTTTCTGTTCAATAGAGCTTATTACTAAACAGATAAATAAAGATATGTAAAATGATTATATCATTCATTTTACGAATTATTCACTGAATGCATTTTAGGAGTGAGAATAATTTCACGAAGTGAATTTTGCTCAAGACCACTGAAATCATTCGACTAACGGCTAATTAAAATAAAACAAGTCACTCTGTGCAGTATATACGTTTGTACTTCATAAAGTAAAGATGGCATTGTTAATTCGGTTTGATAAACCTGTGCATTGCATTGAACTCCTCAGCATTTGAGTGATCTACTACTAAGATATTCTACATAAATCACTTACACTTACTCAAAAAATAGGTGAATCATTATTATTATTATTATTACTATTATGTTATACATTATTGCTACAATGTAACATACTGGATCTTCAACCTGTATCGAGGCATCCTCAGAGAAGCCCATATGTCAACACAAGTAAAAAATCTAATCCAGGATAATCACGCGGAATTAAGAGTATCAGCAAATAATAACTTAAGTTCATCTAAACATTGGTCATGGGTTTTGATACTAAAAGAAGTTCATGAATGATATAAACTTCAGAAAAAAGAAAGATCATTACTGACTGTTACATGCACTGTAAGGCCTAAAAAAAATACATATTTCCAAGTTTTTAATTCTGATTAAGAAAAATGTATGATCTTGACTGTTGAACTACTTATATCTTTGGCGTATCATTTTTATGAATATCATGAATGAAATGATTACTTTGACCTAATGGTTAGGTTGCTGAAGAGTTTTGGAAGCTAATTTCAAATTATTTCAGAAGGATCAGGCTAATATAGTTAGATCATTTGTTAGAATTTACTTTCTTACCATAGCTTGAAAGTATCGCTTTTAGTGTAAAAAGTTACAGGCATATTCAACAGTACCTTTTATTTTAGCTGCTACCATCTTGTCTGTGTAGATAATAGTTAAAATTCTGCATAGTGAATTAAAAATCTTATGAGATAAGTTTCATTAGTCTTATCGACAGTGAAATTCGACTGAAACTTAATGCTTTCGTTATTAGGGCAAGTTAAATAAAGCAGACTGGAAAGATATTTCGTAAAGAAAAAGTCCTCAGAAATGCAAGAAATATTCTGATAGCAACTGGATCATAGCTTGTCATACAATAAAGCTATCTAAGATATGTAAACAGTTCTCTTTAATTAATATCAGAAAAGAAACCACTAAATAGCTTGAATTGATGATAAAGTCCAGAACGACGATAGAAACTTCACTATTAAACCATTTCACTGGAAAAGCAACCCAATCAGAATCATCTTCCTGACCCATAAAATTTCTTCCATACAATAATAGATACAACAGTTCAAGTACTTTTACAGTAATCACAGTCAGTTAGACCCAAAAATATCAAATAAGTTGAACATTTTGTCAACTGAAAAAGATTTTCCTAAAATCCAAAAGAATTAGTAGGGTGAAATTCTAAACTTTCGACGTATCATGTTCTTCTCGTATCTGTGAACAGTATAAGAAGATTTGTTGCATTTACTATTTTAGTATGTAAAGTTATGATTCTCTAATTAAGTGGCTTTCAAAAAGTTGTAAAGCTTCATAAATTTATCTTTCTACTTTTTTAAGATTTCACACAGAAGTTCTTTTTGATGGTCCCAGTATTATCAAACTAAAGGTAAGAGGAAAGAATTCGAAATTAAATAGATGTAGTAAGGAAGCGTTTTGTGAAGGAAATTCCTTAGCATTATTTAATATCTGTTGTCTATCGAACTAAAAGTATTATTTATCACCTAGAAACAAGAAAGAGTTTCATGATTGTGCATTGAGCATGTAAGTAAATCTAACCTATCCAAATTGATCGAAGTGAACTCACCCATAATATATACAGCGATTCTTGTGCACAGATAAAAATGATTTCATCCTTTGGTTTTACTCGAAGTAGTGGTACAGGTTTTGTTTGAAATCTAAAAAACAACACGTAAATACAAATAGTGTTTTACACATATCAATATCTGTCATAAATGAGTATGAGTGAAGTTAAGGAAAGTTTCTATCCTGTAAAACTTTTAATAAAGTAAAATGTATCCGCCTTAGTGTAACCAAGACGAAGCTCAGTCATATTCATCTATTGAAGGCTGCAAAACGAGATATCAAAGCAGTTGCCATCATGAAATGAAATCAGTTGCATAACCACTGTAAACATAGAAGCTCCGAACAGCTGTATATTTTCAAATTTGGGACCTTCAGGCAGTCAGTAGCTTGAAATCAATAAATATCCATAAACCCACCCTACGAAAAGTAACAGTTTATGCAATACACAAGCAAATTGCACGGAAGTCTTCTCTTTAACGAATTTGAATAAAGCAAAAAGAACAAGAGTTTCAGAACTAACATAAAAGCCTTTGGTGGATTCCTTTCAACTGCTTTTCAACGTACAGAACGTGATGCCTTTAAAAGAAAACATGTTATACGACGTACTTTCATAGATCTATAAGAACGTTTCGTTGAGATGAAAGGTGGCGAAGATTCAGGTTGATCGATAGTATTGAAATTGTCAAGAATACTCACGCACAACTCAGCATCTACTGTTGTCTTTCAATAATTCCTGAGTTTGGCTTGTACTTACTCATTATTCCTCCATATTTTCTCCTGGAGTGCGAAAAAGGACTGAAGTGTATTGAAAAGGATTTTGAGGGTTGTTAGTATAGCGAGTGGCACAACACAAACCACGCTGATAATCATGGTTTTCAATAGGCATTCGGATTATGGTAGACATCCAGCTGAAAATATTTCATCTGATGACAAGCATCCTCTGCAAATATACCTCTCTCCATATCTGTCATCAGCAAAGACAAGGAGCAAATATACTACACTCCGTGCAGACTCATCTCCATACAAACGTTGAAGCATACTTTATTTCACTTGTGTATTGTGTGAATCAACTCATGTTGAACATAGTCTTATGAATCAATCAACTTTGCAGTGGTGCATAGTTGTCATGACCCTGAAGTCATTAAACATACAAACAATCATATTTTTAGAAAAATGCTGTTTTCAATCTTGCTATATCTCCGTAATTTTAATCTCCTAATCTCCTAAATTTCACACCCTGATGATACTTCGTTTTTGCACTCTAGGTTTTCATCAATTTGAAAACCTACTTTCACTTTCTGAGTTGTACTCATTGTGTTACTCAGTACAGTGGAAACCAGATAACTTGTTGTTATGCTTATTTAACCATGGTGTCATTGTTATGAATTCTACGATGACATTGTGTACAATCCTTTCCCATATATATATATATATATATATATATATATATATATAATGTTCTCTATCACTGAGTAAATAGTTGACTTTTGAGTAGTCTTAACAATTTCAACACTCATGGTCAACCTGAATCTTTGTCACCTTTCATTTCAATCGGAACATTCTTGTCGATCGATGAAAGTGCGTTATATAACATGTTGATCATAATCAATGTTACATTCTTTAGGTTGAAAGGCAGCTGAAGCGAATCCGTGCAACGTACACATGCTTATTCTGATACTGTTATTCCTTTTGCTTTATTCAGAAAAGAAGATACTAACAATGTGACTTGAGTGTTGAGTGAGCTATTAAATGACTGAAAACACCCTTCAGGAAATTAGAGATAACGAGAAGTTCAACGACAAGCTTTTTCCGGCCATTTCATTCTCCATAGCTGTATAGTCGCAATTTATACATTTTTGTTCAACTAGATTGGTTATTTAAAAAAGTTGTTTCATTAAACCTTGTAACAAAGGTCAGAAGGGTTCTGGCTAAAAGCAGATTTTCAGTATGACTTGTGGACAAAATCATAAGGTCCAAACCACAAAGAGAGATACATATTTTAGTTCCAAAGAAGATATTATGCATGAATCTTGACTTCAAAGGGGACGTTGCTGCTGATAACTTCAAAGTTGGCTGAAGAAAACGTTTTTTGCGTCAACTTTGAGGACAGCATTCTTCAGTCTCCCAGTGCTTTCTGGTAACCCGTAGGATAAACTTTCGCATCTGATTACTTCCATGTGTGTTCATCAATTCACCTGCTCTTCTAGAGCCAGGTATTTAGGTCATTCGATGCGCATTCTTTCCAAACAGTTTAGAGAACATTACCAGGTCTGACGACAAATAAATGCCCGTAGATCCATTGCAAGTGAAATAATTGAACACCTTATCAACTCTGGTCATAGTACCACGACTGATTCAGCGTTCAAAGTCATCTACATAATTAAAAATTCCCTAATGTGGTGTACTTTCGCCTTCTCTGTACAGAAGAAGCTCTTGTCATGTTCTTGGAGAAACAGGACTGATGCGTGCAAAAGAAACTTCAACCTTTGCTGCTGCCTTGAAATTAGTAAATTGTTAACGATAGATCTGTTTCTATCTCTTATTATTCACAGTTTTGTTACATCTTATGATGTTTTAGTAACTCATTATTGTCTTTATTTTGTTTCCATGCTACCCTTGTTCATCCAACTTGATCTTGATCTTATAACTATCCAATATATTTAAACAGAAAATGTGTAAATTACGATTGTCAAGATATGGAGAATGAAATCTCCAAAAAAAGTTATCTTAGTTGAACTCGTCTTCTCTTAAGAGCTAATAATGTTTATTATATCGACTTAAGAAGTTTAGAGGAAGAAGAAATGTTATAAACTTAAAAGTGGAATAATGATTTTTGTAACCTGTGTCTGAAAGAATGTCTAAAAACTATTATGTGGACGTTAAAATAATTATACAATATTGTAGTCACTAAAAACTAGTCAAACTGTATGGAGTAAACTGGCTACAGTCAAATTCATTCATGTAGAGTGATGTTATTCAACAAGCAAGTACACTATAGAGACATATACTATTGGGTTCAGATAGTTAAGCCGATGAAACGTTGAGTTGATAATACGAAGGTTGGTGGTTTGAATCGCACTGTGGTTGGGGTTTCATTTGTAACTTACATCATGAAAGCTATACATTGGAAGCATGTCAACTTAGAGTTCATTTTTTTGGTTTTTAAGTTTATTTACTGTCTCAGTTACAACTCTAATTTATAATATACTTTGTTAATGTATTCTTTTCACTTTCCGTCGGTTACTAATTTCTAATTCTAAAAAAGTAATAGTTATGAAGATAGAAAAATAATTTCTTCATAAATCTTGATTTAAACAAGTTATATAACTGAAGATAAAGTGAGTAATTGTAATTACTCAAGTGTGTATGTGATAGAGAGAAAGATGTAAGCAGGAATGATCTGTGATCCAACGCCTCCTATTCTATCTTTATTTAAAAAACTCATCCTATTTATAATTTATGCTGAAATTCGTCTATTCTATTTAAAAGAAATCTGTTCTCACCCTAGTATACTACAGTCATTATAACTGAACACGCAAAAGGTGCATCATTTTTGTTATGTATATACACTTGTGGATGTATGAAATTTCAACATACTGTTAACATATTACCAATATGTATATGCCAGCTACAACATTAATAAATGATTCTATTTTCCTGAAGAAAATGAAGTAACAATAGTAAATATCTCGAGTTCCCTCCGATTCTGATAGATATATACTATTTACTTAATCTATGTAGAATTTAAGTTTACCTTGAATTTAATTTTTTGGTTTTATTATTAAAAAAACAGAAGACATTTTTTAGAACAGATGAATAGTAGGAAAAAAAAGCAAAGAGAAAAGGAAAGGAGTTTGATAAACATCAGTTTAGCGTGTATTCATTCAATATTAAACTTCAGAAGGAATAAACAAATGAATCAAATGAAGGCTGGTGAATTGAAGACAGTAGGCGGGAAATAGAAGAGAGCACTTTCCTTCTGTCTTTTTACTTATTACAATGATCATGATTTATTTGCTTTATTTTTGTGTAAAAATAACACTGATAAAAATGTACTGATTGAGCCTTTTTATTTCTTTTTTTCTTGTATTAAATTTTACAAGTCGAAATCAGAAGTTACCAGTAACTGGTGAAAAATGAAGTTTGAGATAATCAAGATGGTTATAGTTGTGGTAAAACATTTGTCAGAAAATGTGACAGTAAGTTAAAAGAAGGGAGAGAGAGAGAGAGACAGTTACAAGAATTATAATTTTGTATTAAAAGTGAGATGTTTTTGCGCAGCTGAAAGTATGCTGAGATCGGAAGTGACACTAGTTACGTTTTTTTTCTATCATCTAATAGTAGCGAGAGAAAATCCTATAAATATTGATAATTACTAACTATCTTACTAGAATGTTTGTCAGCGATAAAATTCGTAAAACAGTTATTATTTCAATGACACAAATAGGGATGGTTATAAGTAAGTTTACAGATTCGAACTAATGCCTCAGAATATCGTCTAGAATTTTAAATCTTTATTTAATTTCAATCAGAATCATACCAATCATCCTGTTCACTAAACCATCTCCCATACATTTTAAAGTAGTTTTCATTGAAGATTCAAAATCAGCAAGTGCTGAACCTCCACTTTGTCTTAGTTAGAAACCTCTTAGAAGCTCACATCCATAACTCCAAGAAACATCAAGTACAGAACTGTCAGTTTCTGCACAAAACTAAGCGACAGAAATTTTCTTTACAGTGAGTTTGACGTCATGGTCTTACACTTATTTGCAGATAACTTTAACATTTATAATTAGGATACTGGTCTACTGATTATGTTAGGATAACTAAGAATTGTCGTTGAATCCAAGTTACTCATGTGCTCATTACTGTGAAGTAAGATAAATGTGGCTCGTATCTGATAGGTTACACGATCGTTAATAGCATAGCTGTAGACATCTAATAGTTTTCCTGGTGTTAAGAACTTATGTCGGTGGACTAATTGGTCAACTGATGCCAATATATTTTTCACATCTTGTGTATTGGGTAATGTTCTTATCTTATCTGTCATTTTGAAGAGATAACTAATGAACTGGTTGATAAGATCGTAAAG